ATACGTCAATGCTCACAATAGGAATACGTCAATGTTAAAAAACCCCACAATAGGAATACGTCAATGCTCACAATAGGAATACATCAATGCTCACAATAGGAATACATCAATGCTCACTATAGAAATACGTCAATGCTCAACATAGGAATACGTCAATGCTCACAATAGGAATACGTCAATGCTCACAATAGGAATACATCAATGCTCACAATAGGAATACATCAATGCTCACAATAGGAATACGTCAATGCTCACAATAGGAATACGTCAATGCTCACAATAGGAATACATCAATGCTCACAATAGGAATACATCAATGCTCACAATAGGAATACGTCAATGCTCACAATAGGAATACGTCAATGCTCACAATAGGAATACGTCAATGCTCACAATAGGAATACATCAATGCTCACAATAGGAATACATCAATGCTCACAATAGGAATACGTCGATGCTCACAATAGGAATACATCAATGCTCACAATAGGAATACATCAATGCTCACAATAGGAATACATCAATGCTCACAAAAGGAAAAACATCAATGCTCACAATAGGAATACGTCAATGCTCACAATAGGAATAAATCAATGCTCACAATAGGAATACATCAATGCTCACAATAGGAATACATCAATGCTCACAATAGGAATACGTCAATGCTCACAATAGGAATACATCAATGCTCACAATAGGAATACGTCAATGCTCACAATAGGAATACGTCAATGCTACAATAGGAATTTCATCAAAGCTCACAATAGGAATACGTCAATGCTCACAATAGGAATACATCAATGCTCACAATAGGAAATACATCAATGCTCACAATAGGAATTACATCAATGCTCACAATAGGAAAACGTCAATGCTCAAATAGGAATAAGTCAATGCTCACAATAGGAATACATCAATGCTCACAATAGAATACATCAATGCTCACAATAGGAATACGTCAATGCTCACAATAGGAATAAAGTCAATGCTCACAACAGGAATACGTCAATGCTCACAATAGGAATACATCAATGCTCACAATAGGAATACGTCAATGCTCAAATAGGAATACGTCCCAAAGCTCCAATAGGAATACGTCAATGCTCACAATAGGAATACTTCAATGCTCACAATAGGAATACATCAATGCTCACAATAGGAATACGTCAATGCTCACAATAGGAATACGTCAATGCTCACAATTGAATACATCAATGCTCACAATAGGAATACGTCAATGCTCACAATAGGAATACGTCAATGGAAATCAAAGCCCCAAAAGGAATACGTCAATGCTCACAATAGGAATACGTCAATGCTCACAATAGGAATACTCAATGCTCACAATAGGAATACGTCAATGCTCACAATAGGAATACGTCAATGCTCACAATAGGAATACGTCAATGCTCCAATAGGAATAACTCAATGCTCACAATAGGAATACGTCAATGCTCACAATAGGAATACGTCAATGCTCACAATAGGAATACATCAATGCTCACAATAGGAATGCTCAATGCTCACAATAGGAATACGTCAATGCTCACAATAGGAATACGTCAATGCTCACATAGGAATACACAATGCTCACAATAGGAATTACATCAATGCTCACAATAGGAATACGTCATGCTCACAATAGGATACTCAATGCTCACAATAGGAATACGTCAATGCTCACAATAGGAATACATCAATGCTCACAATAGGAATACATCAATGCTCACAATAGGAATACGTCAATGCTCACAATGAATACGTCAATGTCACAATAGGAATACATCAATGCTCACAATAGGAATACATCAATGCTCACAATAGGAATACGTCAATGCTCACAATAGGAATTCGTCAATGCTCAAATAGGAATACATCAAGCTCCAAAAGGAATACGTCAATGCTCACAATAGGATACATCAATGCTCACAATAGGAATACGTCAATGCTCACAATAGGAATACGTCAATGCTCACAATAGGAATACATCAATGCTCACAGAGGAATACGTCAATGCTCACAATAGGAATACTCCATGCTCACAATAGGAATACTCAATGCTCACAATTAGGAATACGTCAATGCTCACAATAGGAAATACGTCAATGCTCACATAGGAATACGTTCAATGCTCACAATAGGAATACGTCAATGCTCACAATAGGAATACGTCATGCTCACAATAGGAATACGTCAATGCTCACAATAGGAATACATCAATGCTCACTAATAGGAATACATCAATGCTCACAATAGGAACGCATGCACAATAGGATACGTCAATGCTCACATAGGAATACATCAATGCTCACAATAGGTAATACATCAATGCTCTCAATATAGAATACGTCAATGCTCACAATAGGAATACGTCAATGCTCACATTAGGAATACGTCAATGCTCACAATAGGAATACATCAATGCTCACAATAGGAATACATCAATGCTCACAATAGGAATACGTCAATGCTCCACAATAGGAATACGTCAATGCTCACA